ACAGACTTTTAACTGATAAACCACAACCGACACGCAGGCACTACCCTGTTACAGGGGCCTTAACCTCGATGCCACTGGCTGTTTCATAAGGGCCAACTCTCTTGAGAACTGGCTAGGTAGAAAAATTACTTTGGACAACAAGCTCCACTTTGTGCTCTGTTTCTGCTACTCAAAAATCCACCAGAATAACAGCAATTGAAACAGTGATGAGATCAAACGGGACACCTACAGAGGAAATAAGCACCAGGTGATCTCTGTTGTGATGCCTGTACCTAGCTGGACATTAGGCATCTAAACTTAAACACTTATCGATAAGTTACCATGCAAAGGGAGTTACAAAATTGATCATGTGAGTCACAGCTGAATATAAAAAGTGCATTTTTCCATCAGCAGTTGTAGTCATCTGCATACTACAGGAACAGCCTTCCTCAGGCTTTTGACCAATGGAGAAACAATTGACTACCAGATACAGCATGAGGGACCCTCGCAAGTACTAACTTAATGTACAACATTCTTCATTGCTAAGGCCTCTATCTTTATCCCCACCGATCTCCAAAGTGTACACTTCCTAAACCAGTTCAGGGCAAATGCAAGAGCCCACTTTGTTCTAGTATTTCAGTCAGAAGCTGCAACGGTATCTCAGACTGAGGTTCTAGCACAGTTTTCAACTTCAAATACTTATACTGAACTGCATGATTCAAGAGATGTTCCAAGCTCCTGATGGAGAAGGCTTCAAACACTCTGTCCCAGCCCACGTAGCTGCCAGCTACATCCAGACCATTCAGACACGTAGCTTGGAGGTGGGATCACCCTGTCTGACCATGTCAGGAACAGCTCAGATGGAAAGTATCCCACTGTCTTCCGGTGTTTTGTACGCAGCAGTAACTAGCAAAACTGAACTTCACGCCTACCTACCAGCTTCAGGGAAGAAGGCTAAAAGGAGGCTTGAGTACCTCATTAAGAAACTGTTATTCTAGGTCAGAGGAAGAAGTGTGCTGTATCGGAGGAAACCTGACACAGTTGTACTCTACTGCCTGTTGCAGCTAATTACATCTCTCAGTGGGATCCATCACCTTCAGGTATCTGCAAAAACAATTTGTGTTCTTGAAGAACCCAAGGGAAAACATTCTTTCTGCCCTTTCCTACGGCGGAAACAGACACATCTGTTGTTAGCAAGGGATTCCTCATCACTGGCATCTCAGTGCTGCTAGATTAGTCCATCTTTGCGAGCAAGGAAGGCTTCAGGAGAAAATAAAAATTACTCTTGAAACACAGTGACAGGATTCAAAGGGACAGCTCCAGGAGTGAATGTAGTTTCTAGGTCTTTTTTTTTGGGGGGGGAGGGGGAGGGGAATGAGCATGATGGTTTAATTTTAATGGCTGTCAGTTAGCTCATTCAAACTTACTGTTTCTAGCTCTTTATGTGCATCCAGGGCAGTGGATTCCCTGTCAGACTTCTCTTCCACTTTCTTCAAAATATTCTGCAGGGGAAGAAAGGCTTGTTAACTCTGATCCAAATTTGGCAGCACAGAAAGGTCTTTGCTTGCCTCCAAGTTATTTCTGGCCATCAGCCTAATTACAGGATAGGTGACAGAGTACAGCGACTCTCACCTCTTAGTTCCTCTTTCTCATTAAAACCTGTTCCCATCAGACCTTATATCTAAAAGACCCATAGCAGGCAGACTCCTATTTTATAAAAAGAAATGAATAAATAAAAATAGCTAGAGCTGGCACTAACAGATAGTGTTATCCGTAATCCCAGTGGGATAAGGCCATTTGGGACTGAGCTGTTTCCTCATCCCTAGAACCATGTCCTCCAGCAGTATTTAGACAAGCTGGCAAAAGCACAGGAGGAAGATGGCTGACAATGTGGACCAAGCCACCATGATGTAGGGTTTCATACATGGAGCATTTCCATGTCCTGCAGCTGTTCTGCACAGTGCATCTGTGTGTCGGCATCCTAACCATCAAGCAGCTGGGTTACTGGACTGTTGCTACCCCTTCTAGCAGCTCATCAAAGTTCCTCCTCAACTCTTTTGTTCAATAAAAGCTATCTGGCAACTTCAATGCTAATTTGGCGATGGTCTGAGTGACTGAAATCTTTTTTCCATAGTTGTTGAGAATGTCTAACTCTATGGAGAGCCTTCATCTAGCTCTAGAGTTGACCGTGGCTGTATCTAAGCCTCATTCACAACTGCTGGAAAGGAAAATTCCAAGACTGATCCAGAAGAACTCAGGAGGGAGAGAAGAGCAAAACTCTACCTGCACCAGCAGCTTGAGCCGAGTGATCCTTTGAAATGGCAGAATAAGGAAGGAAGAAAAGGACAGGCCTTTGCACTTGGGATCCAGCTCCAGCTGTGAGATCACTTCCCGGAAAGCTGGCTTGTCCTGGCTGAGGGGGGAGAGAGAGAAAGAAGGTGAGGGCTTTGAGTGCTGCCCTGCCCGAGACTCTGGTACGTGGCTGGTGACCCAAAAGCAGCTTAGTCCCAGAGACAGCATCTGCCTGGCCTCTCCCAGTAAGAGAGAAGAGGGGAGGAGGGAACTGAATGCTTCTAGGTGTATTTTAGTTTAAATCTAGAACTATTTATAGTGTTGGGGGAGGGAAAAAATAGACTTTTAATGTACGAGCCATGGTAGTGTTCACATGTGTTAGCACATCTAGCTCAGCAGCATATGCTGTGTGTGTGGGTGTGTGTGAATGGGGTGTGTGTCCAAGTAGATGAGTCAGAGGCATAATTATATATTTTTTACACAGTTGGAACTCTGTGACAAGGTGAAATTCACATAGTCATAAGAACAAGACAAGCCATAAAACAGCTCAAGCTTGGCTACTCCTGGGGGCTTAACCGGAGGATGGAAATCATTATCTGGCCTGAGAAGGGCAGGGGCCATGCCTGGGCCTTCCCTGATGGTGTTTACAGCAGATGAGGGCATTGCTGGGCCACGGACATGGCTGCACAGAGCAGCCTCCCAAGCCCCAGCTGCCATAGTCAAAGACAACGCTTCCTGGCAACTGCGGGGCTCTGAGGAAGACTTAACACTGCTGGAATCTTGGCTAGCAGAAACAGCGTGGATGTGAAGAGATTGCTAACTGTGTGAAACCTGTCTTTACTGTGTGTGACTCGCAACATCCAAGAGAAGGCACTGTAAGCGTTTCTGCCTGCTGCAGCAGGTACTTGTGTGCTGGTGTGACTCACCAGAGCCACAGCAGAATGGACCTGTGCGCATCTGAGGAACAGCCAAATGGGGGAACTGTGACACACCTCAGGCTTCAAGTTCAGCCAAGTGCTGCAAAATTCTGGTGCTAGCTAGGAGCCTGTGGAAGGGAGTCTGTTCTTTTCAATTTGCTTTATGTTCTTCCGCAAATGAAAAAACATGCTGCCCTCTCAATTCCTGTCTAGGCATGCCTCTGTCTCCAACAGGTCCTTTTCAAGCTCAAGTAATCCAGCCTATTGCTGCTTCACTTCTGAGTGTTTAGCTAATGGCTCTAGGCAAACTGTTTATATTTTGCAGCTATATGCCTCACCTCTGACTGAAGGAAACCCTGCAATACAGTCCTTTTGGAGAGAACAGTTGGCCAAACTCAACAGAGGCCCCTTAAAGTGTTGGGGGGGTTTTTGCCTCAAAAGCTGGAAAGCAGAGAAAGAAAAGGATTAGGGCTTGTTAGACTCTCCTGAACCAGCTGCTGCTACGGGGAGGAAATACAGCGCAGCATGTGCAACGGGCTGTCCTGAAAGAATCCGGGGCATTGAGCAGGAGAATTAATTTTTCTTTAGTTACAAAGACAAGCTTGTAGGGTACTCTTTGATTTGAGCTGCTGTAAGAGAATTCCTACTGGACCAAAAGACTTGCTAAACTTGAAAAATACTGCAGAAATAATCTTGGATTATATCCTCAGGCCTAGGTAACATCTCTGTGTGTAACCCCAGAATGTGGAAAAAAATAGTGCCTTTTTTTCCTCCTTCTAAGAAAATTTTGTTATTCTGAAAAAAAAATTAGTTCTCAACTTTGGCAATGTCAAATGCCTTGCTGAGAAACTGTTCTTGTCATCAGAGGTCTGTATTACATTCATGGCCTTTCAATCTCTTGCTTCTACTTGCAGTTTAAAAAACCATAAATTTCACAAGCATCTGTCCCCATGTACACATAAATATTTCCCACAGTTGGGAACTGCTGGCTCTGAATTTACTTGGTATGTTGCCTGCATACTATATCACCCCACCTTTACTATAAAGCCTGTTAACTGTGTTTTCTTTTTATAGGTGCAGTGAAAAATCAGTGAAGTGGAAAATCTTGATTCTGTACTATCTAGCCCTTTCTCCCAAACATCAAAATTACAGCTAAATCCATGGCCTATATAATTTTGCAAAATAATTTAGCGTCAAGCACTGGAACTCACAGAAGCTGCTTGTAAGCTCTTTCCTGGTAGGTCTGGTTGGAGACGTAGGTGATGTACACAGAGAAGTGATTAACCGTATGCTGGTAGACAATATCGCACACATCCGAGATCACAATATTCTCCTCCACCCGCTGCTCGAGGTCCAACAGGAAGCTAGATGAAAAACCCAGTGCTCATATTAATTGCGACCTGTCTGTCCCAGGTAATTCCCCGAAGAAGCCCTTGGGGTTCAAAGCAATGAATGTGTCCACAGGCTCTTTGAAAAGAGGGTGGGCAACAGACTGCCCCTAGTCAGCTCCTCCATCCCTCTACAAATGAGGATAGCTAAAGCGATGCCGTTCAGCTGGACAAAAATCCAGCAGCAGTAGTTATCTTACCGCTCACTAACAGCCATGACATCCAGGACGTTGGAGAAGAGGATGTGTGCCTCAGACTGGTGTAAGATCTTTTTCAGACGTTCGTTCTCCATGAAGTGAGACACCAGCAGATTCAGACTCTTGTAATATGAGGCTTCAGAAGTAACCAGCTCAAACATGGCCTGGGGGAGAATCCCAAAGAAGGAAATCAGCAGGTGCCTTCTACTTCTAGAGAGAGGCACGTACAGCATTAATGAGAACATCTGTGCTGCACACCGTCACGGACCTTGCACCCACCCTCCAGGCCCAGAGTACAGCAAAAGGTAAGCCCACAATGGCATTTGCCATGTGTTACATAGGACAGTGACTCGAACGGGGAAGACTTCCTACCTCAACCATCAGCCCTGGTGCCTCCTGTCTCTCTCCTAAGTTGTTTGCCCACATTTTCTCCCATTAAATCTCTCCAGCAGAACTACCTCTCTCATTATATATAAGCAGTCTGATTTTGTGCACAGGCACGCATAAGAGCACTTCATGGGCCCCCTCCTTCCTTCCCAGTGTCACTCAGTCTTGACCTGAGGCTGCTCCAGGAACCGGCCCCCTATATGCCCACTTGTCACAGTCCTACGCTTCCATCTCCCTTTCGGGGAGTTCTCCTTGGCAGCCCCCATACGCCTTCCAACCCCCTGCTGATCATGACAGCGCTGGCTTGTCGCTCTGCTCTCTGTGGCTTATTGTGCCGCTCAGGAGGGTCTCCTTGCACCATCTACGCTCTTTTAGAAAAGCCGTGGTGCAGGGGCTGGGATGTACAGCACCCAGCACACTGCAGTCCCAGCATGCAACATGTGCTCCTCGGGGCAGAGCTAATACAAATACACAGCTGTGGTGCTCCAAGGCCCTGTGCCTTCTCTGACCCAAAGGAAATACAGCCTCACAGTTCAAGGCTCCTTGGCCGTATACTTTTCTGACCCAATTCACCAAGGACTCAGACAAGACACAGTAGTCCCTAACTATTACCATAAGTCATAAATAATCTCTTGAATTTCAGCTCTTGCTTCTCCTGTTAGAAGAGAAAACTCTGGAGCAAAACCTGGCTTCCACAGGCTAGGGAAGTGGTCTGGGGAAGCAGAAAGACAAATTGGTGGTTTGGTTCAGAGATAAAAAATGATTTAATGAGATGAGGATATAAAGCCTTCTGCCTACAGCAGATACCGCAAGACAGTCCACTATTACCACACAGAGCTCTCTTACTCTCCGGGCAAGTCTTGGTTGCCTTTGTTCAGAGGTAGATAAAAAAGATGATTATTTACACAACTACTGAACCTGTCAGTTGAAGTAAGATTAAATTGAGACTCTCACAAGGGCTTCAACACTGTGAAAAATCATTAGATCCTTCAGACATCTCTTGATGAAGGTGCATCTTGGGCTCCTTGTCCTGGGACTGGCCCATGCTGCTGCTACTGAAAGAGGAACCTTTTGGTAGTTCGGTGAAAGTCTAGCTTCTTTGAACATAAAGCTGCTTCGACCCTTGAGCCCAAGCTCCTTAACTGCCCACAGCTCCTCTGCTGCACCCTGGCGAGGGTGGGAGCTGGCCAGGCAGTGCGAGTGCAAGCCCCTGAGCTCTGCTGGCACTCAGAGGTGGCAGGGGCCCAGCTAGAGTCAAGGAGATCCAACAGAGCAGCAGGTACATGCAGTGTTTTTTGTGCTGTGCATATGGAAAAATGTCTTCCAAATTAGGTGGAGGTCTCTCTTGTGGCTTGGTTGTTCTTTTTTTGGGGGTTACTTTTTAATGATTTTTTTTTTCTTTTTAAAGAAATTATTTTAAAGTGTCTGCTGATCAGTTTTTGGCCTTTTCCTGGAAATATCACTATGCATCACAGAAGAAGCTGGGGTACAGAGACCTGGGTTGTATTCCTGACACTGTGCTGCAGTCCGAGATCTGGGACGATGGGCACAACAAGGAGGGACTGTTACTCAATCCACAACTGCTAAAATACCAGTTGAAGTGACGTTTCAGCTCTTTCTGGGGTTGGTAGCCTAGGCAATATTCCCAGTAGGCAGTTCAGTCAAACAGGTGGTCCTTTCCTGCACCAGAGAAAGAGGCTGTGCCTGCACAGCCCCCAGCAGGGAGACAGAACGAAAGGTGCGGGTGGAAATGATCGTACTTGGTCAGTGTATGCAGAACAGCTGATGTTTAAGGAATAAGAGGATGTTTGGGTTTTTGTTTTTTCAAGGCCAGATTCCCAGTGAGAAAAGTGGAAGAGTGTCAGCTCAGCTTCTCCCAACAGCTTCACCAGGGCACCTGGCGAACCTGAGAGAGGACCTCTCTCCCTGTATGACCGGCTAGGTCCTAAATGCACCTCTTACAGCTTTAACTGTCCCTTTTTGTTTGATAAATGAGAGGAGAAGTGGAAATAGGTAAAGAAACAACCAAGAATAAGACAGGATGTGCTGGGACAGCCTGTCCCTTCCAGGTATCCTGGGGATTGATACCACCAGTTATTTTGCACTGCAGCTCTCCAGATGCTCCAAGCCCGGAATTTTTTCCTGCCAGGTTTGATTGCGGGATGGCCTTGAGAGCCAAGATCAAGACCTGCCATTCTATGACAGCCTTTAAATGCTCAGACAATTTACTTCATTTAGAAGGCTGCTTCCTGATCTGCAGAAGCCCTTCTGCCTATGTGTGGAGAAATTAATTTGTGTGTGTTTGCTGTTCACCATAGCGGGGGGTGCTAGACCTGCATGGGCATGTGCAGAGTGCAAGCCATACTAAAGAAATAATGAAATCTATAGTGATAATATCAATGCACAGGGTTCTGATTTAAAGGAGAAAAAGTAAGAAAGTAAAGAACATCTCTACTGATCAGGACAAGGTTTTGGAAGTGTTCACAGCATGTGCAAGGCACAAGTTTCTTAATTTACTTTGGAGATCCAGCTGGTCCTCTGCAGACCCAAAGTACTTGCTCCTAGCAGCCCGGACTGCTGTATCCCTTTTGAATGGTAAGTATGAGCTGCAAACCTCCTAAACTGGCACCAAACATCCAACCATGCGATGCGATGATGTGACCTCTGTGGAGTAACTGAACTTTGCTAGCTCTAAGCAGTCACTAGAAAAAAGAGCACAAGCTTCTGGTCTCAGAATTGCAAAAATAACTAGGAAAAAATTTGAACTAAATGTCAACTGATGTAATACTATCTTCCTGAGGCTACAAATAGTCTGAAACTATCTCATGACCGACACTGTTCCATCAGTCCTCTGGGTCATTAACTTCATGAAATCTCACAGTCACATAAAAGCTATGCTAATTGTTTTCATTGCTTATGTTTTGGCAGAGAGATTGAAAAAGGAAAAGAGAAGTGAAGCCTAAGAAAGAAGGAAATGTAGAAGATAAAAAAGGAGAAAAATTAAGAGTCCCCACAGACAAGAGTAAGTAATCTTACTAATTCCTATGGAGACAATATGGTGTTTTGGATTGGAAATACCTGTTCCCAGTGGCCCTGCTCTTCATGTAAACCACCAGATAAGAAGGGGGAATTCTGGTCTAGTCTAGGAGGGATGTTCTTCTGATTCAATGCCACAGCACTGGCTGTGATCAGCTCTCAGGCCTGGTTGCCTTCCCAGGGCCAGTCGGACATCCACCTGCTAGAAGTGCAGTAAGTCCAGCATGAGAGCTCTCTGGAGGTTTGAAATCTAAGGTTTGCTCAAAGAAGGAAAGGAAATTAAGTATTTTCTGGACTTTTTTTGTGAAAACAGAACAAGAGAGAAAGACTGCCTACCTGTCAAACACAATCTTCCTCCACACACATGTGACCAGTGCACACAATCAGCTTCAAGTCCCTCTTTTGCTGGAGCAAAGAGTATTTTCAGAGCAGCAACTCTCTGATCTAAATTCACACCATAACACATGGTGCAGATACTCTGTCTCTGCCCTTTTTTCTAACACCAAAGTGACCTGAATCCAAATAATCCCTGGCAAAAACGTTATGAAAGCTCATACATCTCAGCAAAAATGGTTCAGTTCAAAGATTGAGAATACTTTGCTAAACTATTTTTATTAGTAAATTGTTTGGGGTGAGTTCCACTCAGCTTGGAATCTCCTCAAACACAGAAGATGAACACGGAAAGTCAATACACTTAGCGAGCAGGAAAGGACAAAATGAAGAAACTATATAGTAAATAAAACAAGGACGAACTGAAAGGTAGAGAACTGAACTGGGAAAGAGGAAGAAACGGGAGCCACTCCACAAAAAGGCCATACCAGTATCTAATTTAAGGTTCATGCTGAAAGAAGTTTCACTGATTAAATATCGTTTCTTCTAATCTCTGGATCACTACCTTTTCAGAGCATAGTACTTTGGTGACAGAACTTACTTTAACCTAAATCACATGTAATACAAGGAGTGTGTTTTCTCTTTAGTCACTTGTTCTTCCTGCTATGTACATGTTGCCTGTCATTTCCTCCACATTGACTCCATGTCAGAACCCAAACAAGCATTTCTTTTGGCTTGTTCTTCTTGCATCATTACATTTTCTAGATAGTTAAAAGAAAGCCCTTGGTGATTCATGTGGTGGTGTGTTTTATGCCCAACAGATGTCTGGACAATTAAAACTACCCTATCAAGAACATAGTCATTTCTGGTAATTATTCGAGTAGCACATAATTTTCCTATTTCCCTGACCTCTGTGGTCTGTAACATGTCTTTTGCTTTTTCTTTTGTTCTTCCTTTTTCTGCATTTGCACCCACATTTTTTGTGACACTTCCAGTTTTTGTTTTATATCTTGCTATTCTCACATTCACTTCAGATGAAAAAGACCGGTGTGGCAGAGGCCATCACTGTCTGAATTCTGTTTAAGTTCCCAGGGCTAATGGGCCATGCTGCAACTATTTTATTTTTTTTTCCCCCCGAAATTGCTGTGGGGTAGATGTGGGTTTTGGGTTTTTTGGTTTGTGGGTTTTTTTTTCCTTCCCAAAACTCCATTTTCTGGCCTTTTCCAGTCAACTTTCTTGGTTCGATGCTTGAAAAACACCTGTTACTTGTTTTTTATCTTGTATTGATAACCAGCTTAGTCATTTTCTGTCATTGCCAACAACAAAGACCAGATTCCTCCTCTTGTTCTTGTCTCTTTTTCATTTAGCAGATTACTGCAGATGAACAACTTTTTCTCTGACTGTTTAAGGCCTGCTCCATCACAGCTATGGTAGTGTTCCCTCCCTCAGCTGTGAACAGGGGTGTTTGCTTCAACTTTCTTTCCATTTGTCTACTGGTATTCCTCCCTGTGGTCTAAATAATCCTCTTGTTCCACCTTTCCTGGCTGAAGAGCTGCAAGCTTTTCTCGTCCCTGTGTTTACCACAGCTTTGAAGATAAAATGGGTCAGAAAGGTACGATTTTGTCCTTAAGACATTTACTCCACAATTTCTGCTGCCCTGTACTTCAGGTAAATTCCTCCAATTCTCCTTCATGAAGCTGAACACTTTACTGTCCCTTAATCAAGCCCTCATGTACAGCTCACACTCCCAATTCATATCCAACGTAAGCACAGTTCCATCACTGCAGGAGCAAGCAGTGCTTCCTCATAGCAAGGCTGAATTCAACATCATCTCTTTAATTGCCTCAGTGATTTCTCCATCCCTCCTTGTTTTCTGTCCTTGACTCTCCTCACAAAGCAAATTCTCCACTTTATCTATTCAATGTTCAGCCAATTTCACAGCTTTCTGGCTTTGAGCAATTTTATAATCTCTTACTGTGCTAATCCCAGAACAAACAGGAAGAAAATTTCAGCTCTGATAAAGCACAGCACTTCTTTAAGGCAGCGCTGTCCCATCTCCATCTGCTTTATTTAAGCAGAGAGAAGAAAATTTAGCACACTTAATGTTGGGGTTTAGCAGCACAGAGATTTTCTCCTTAAAACACCTACGGGTAATGAGCATAACTCAACAGAAATGGCAGGTTTTGAAATCTATAATGCAAACTTTTAAGCAAATGTTTCTCTGTAAAAGACTCTTCATTTTGAAGCAGAAGGAAAAAGAAAAGCTTGTAATTTTTCAGATGCCAGATTGTGTTTGTAACGCTGGCAGTTAGAAGCACCGTGTTTTGCCAGGTAAACAGAACAAATCAGATATGGAAATAACCAGTGCAGAAGAAGAACATGGAAAAGCAACAAACCATTTTAGTCACCTTCAGCTGTAACCCTGACACACTAACGGCCTGTGCTTGCAAGCCCAAGCAACCCTGGATAAATACTGGTCCTTTCCACCAAGGGTGTAAGTAACACAGCCCAGCCCGTCACACCCCACGAGCCTTTCCAGTGTAACAGTGACATTGCAGCCTTGGCCAGGACAAGGGCAGCACTGTAAACACAAGGGATTCGTGAATGTTGACTGTGCAAATCCAAGTAAACTAAGGGGGAACTGCTCACACCCTGCGATGTTCTTCAGCCCTTTGGGTACAATCTCATGAGCCAGGGCTGAACAGATACACTGCCACAACGGTCTCACTAGAAGCAATACTGGTGCAGGAGCATAGCAGGACTCGCAGGATGAAGCCTTTGAAGGCCCATTCCTCGTATTACAACGCACACCACACGCTAAACAAGGCTTGTTCACCTCCACTCCTGGCTATGAATGCAGTGCTCTGCATTGACAAAGAGTACTCACGCTTCCCACCCTATCCAAAATAGCAACCAGTTGTAAATTGTTGTGTGACTGATGTTTTAATTAATTGTGGTAGCTACCCCCACCTACTCCTTTCACTGTTTGATGCAGCCCTATAAATCAACAGCGTATGACTCTCAAACAGTGATGTCACTGCACTGTATGGCTAAAACGCCAATATACCTGTCATTGTTTTTTATTGTTTTGCATAAGACTCCAAGTAACAATGTTTAAAAATTAATGAAGTTTATCAATCTCTTTCTCTTCCCTTTCTATTAATGCCATCATATTTAAAAGAGATTACAGTTAACAGTTGGATTCTTCTAAGATTGCTGGTGGAAAGTATGTATCCTGCTAGTAACTTCAGAAGAAGATTAATGTGCACTGAGAACCAAAAGCTCTATTGCAAAAGCCTCTTCATTATCCCTCTTCCTTTGTAAGTTGCTCCTAATGCTCAATTGGAAAAGGGAAAAGATCGCTCTTTTTTGCTACAGAAACGTCCACCAGCAGTAGCGTACAGAACAACATCCGTAGTTTCAAAAAAAGAGTGAGTGGTGTTACCAGTGCAACACAGAAAAGTACTCAGCAAGGCAAGGCTTGTCTGTGACTGCTATAAGAAGCTTTTCATTTTTAAATCTTGATCATTTGACTTAATTCACTCTTATTCTTTTAAGCAGCAACTCAGTTAAGAAAAACTCCACCTTCCCCCATTACCTCCTGCAGCTTGATCTCATCTGGCTGGAGGATGCTGAGAACCCCGCTGCTCCGGATTTCGGGAAGATCCTGCCATAAGTTGAACCTGGAGTTGGAGTTCCTCAGCAAACTGATTTGTGGTGGAGCTTTGTTTTCAGTTGTACTTGTAGGTTCTGCTTCAGATGGGGTTTCCTCGCTGGGTGAACTCTCCTCAGGGTCTGTCTGTGAATCCTGCAGTCGTCTGGTTTCAATCTCCTGGCGTGTAGATTTATCTCGATATTCCTGATACAAGAGCCCTAGGAGGCAACATAACAGGTCTGAGAGATTACAGCTAAACAAGAGAGTGGAAACATGTTGTCGGAAAGGATATTTGTTTTGTGTTAGTTCACCTCAGCAGAGGTGAGAGAGATCCCTTCTGTGCTGATCAAAAAGGCCAATTAC